TACCACTAGTGCACCGGAACATACTCTCATCGCTCCATTTTCTGCAATGATTTTGAACCATTTTGATTCTAGGGCTCCCACAGAGATGAGATTTTTCTTCAAAATCCGGTACATATCGAACATCTGTTAATGTTCTGATCATTCCATCATGGTTCCTTAATCGTATTGAACCAATGCCATATGAGGTAAGAGGGCTGTTATCCGCTGTGTGGATGACTCCATATTCTCCTTCTTGAAATTCCACGAACCAGTCCCTGTTGGGACACATATGATAGCTACAAGCCGAGTCCATCAACCATATGTCTGATGATGTTGATGACTCTGTTGTAACTAATGAGAAGTCTGAATCATCACAATCAGCTACATTTGAATCCATAATGGCCTTTCCATTGTTATGTTTGGCCTTATTCTTCAACTTCGGACAGTCTTTCTTCCAGTGCCCTTTTTCTCGACAAAAGGCACATTCATCTTTGCTGGGTCTGGATCTTGACTTGGATCTTCCCTTCTTTGTCCTCGTTTGATTTTGAGGACGACCCCTCACAAATAGTGCTTCTCCTTCTCCGCCCTTCTGTTTTTCTCGCTTTCTTTGTTCATAGCTGTACAAAGCCGAACAAACTTCTCTGAGAGAAATTTCGTCATTTCCATGGAGTAGAGTAGTTTCAAGGTGCTCGTACTCATCAGGAAGTGACGCCAACAACATTAAGGCCAAGTCACCATCATCATAAGTTGTATCCATATTTTGCAAATCTGTGACCAACTTATTGAAACTGGTGATATGTTCATTCATCGTGGTACCAGGAACATAGGTGAAGTGAAACAGTCTCTTCTTCATGTACAATTTATTTTGACTGTTTTTCTTCAAAAAATTTATCCTCCATGCTTTCCATAATTTACTTGCAGAAGTTTCCTTTGTGTATGGATATTTCTGCTCTCTAGCAAGGTAGGATCGAATGGTACCGCAAGCAACACGGTTGATAATTCTCCAATCTTCTTCTCCAATAACATCTGGTTTCTTTTCTTCAATGGCCAGATCTAGCCCTTGTTGAAAAAGGACATCTAGAACCTCGCCTTGCCACATCCCAAAATGTCCGGACCCGTCAAATATTTCTACCGCAAATTTCGCATTTGACACAATTCTTGTCATAAGCGAAGATGCCAATGATGACGTATTGTTGACACTTGATGTAGATTCTTCTTGTTTATTGTCTCCCATCTTTGACACAAATATTATTTAATAGCTGACGACACAAATCAAGATTATTTCCTTTCTGGTGTGGAAGATCAGACTAAGCTGCAACCACAGAGCATACTCAGACAGAACCTTGACTCAGTTACCAAGATAAATCTTTTCTGATGTGGAAGATCAGACTATGCTGCAACCACAGAGCATACTTAGACAGTACCTTGGCTCTGATACCAATTGTTGCGGAAGCCAAATGTATATAGTGTGAATGAGTGACAACTACTATACCAAAAATTATGACAGCCACCAAATAATAAATAAGACAATAAAGCAACAATAAAAAGAACCCCAGAATTTACGAGGTTCGGCCAATTTTGCCTACTTCCTCGGACACAACCAATATTTTTATTCCACTCCAAAAATACAAGTGAAATAATACTAAAGAGAGAAGATACAAATGCCTTAAGAAGATAAGAAAGCAAATGAGAGGTGTATTTCAATCCTAAACATTAGGCCTCCTTTTATAGGTGAAGTTTCCATAAACATTTTGCCCACAACCGATGTGGGACTTTAGCAATCAACAATGACTTCTCACTTGTATTTTCACTAATATTGACCCAAATTCCCTTAATAGCTTCTCACGGATACTTGTGTTGATATGCATTAGCTTCTTAACTGCAGGAAAATGGGTATCAGCTACTCTTTCTCAGTGCGCGTGCAATTGTTCAAGCATATCTGACCAAGAATTTCCTATTTAATCTCAAACAGGTACTAGCATATGCATTCATGAGACATCAACCATACCAGTTCTAGGCTTCTGAATTGTAGTAACATTCTCTTTGGAATCCCAGGGGAAACAGTTGGTTGAATTTTCCCTTTACACATTTTCAAATATCTAGTTGGTCTCACAGTGTTCCGATTAGCTTGACTCATAACCCCACAACTTGGCCTTGTCTTCTCATTGCTTATGCTTTTTCTCCTGCTATTCATTGTCTCTCCTTCTGTGCGCGTTTTCGTTTTCTCGGAGGAAAAGGAGAGGCTTAGAGAACCATTTTGCTCCTGGTACTTGTCGTTCAACTATATGTGCCACCTTGAGTTTCTTGGATGTGACTCTGTTCATCTTGTCCTTGTGTTGTGGGTCTGATTGTCCAACAGACTCTCTGACTACAAATGTTAAATGCTCTGTAGGATGGAAAAACTCTACCCAGCGGACCTGTTGTGATTTCTCCCGACGGTTTATTTCCATCATTGTACAGAGAAGGTAGGCCGCATCCTTCTACTGTCTCCTCATGTTTGTAGTCTGAATCAAAGTGCTTGATCAGTGCATAACAGTTGGACATGTTTCTTGGTGTTTGGCTATGATGAATGTATTTCAAAATCTTTGTCTTTCTTTACGGTATAATTTACTGACTTTTGCTGCAGACGATTACATTTGAAGAGCACATATGCTTTTTAAAAAAGCATATATGCTGCTTTGCCACAAAAAGAAAAAAGGCAAAATATATAAACAGACACTTAAAGTTGGCATCAACGGTGGGTTTGACACTCCAACTTAGCCAATGACCAGATAAACACATTTTCTTGGCATAAATGTATCTCATGCACACCTCGTGCTGATATGGCGAGGTGCATGTATTTCACTCAAATTTGGGTGCCTGAACCCCTTGAAACTTTTTTTTTTAAATTTTTTCCCCCCTTCTTCTCCACACTCTGATTTTTACATCCATTTCCCTACCTTCTTCAGCCTGGCAGTAAAATAGCCACCAAGAACACACCCATACCCAAATATGTAACTAATTAAAGAGGAGCTTTGTTGGAGCTAAGTTGCTTTCTATCTGTACTTGGTAGTTATCTAACATATACTCTATTGAAAATTTACTAGAGTATATACTAAGCATATTTTAGGTGTATTTTCTGGTAAGATAATGAATATTTTGAGTACATGTTTCTCTCAGTTCGATATGTTTTGACCGTTGAGCACAAAAGAATGCTTGTGAGCAATAATTAGCTCCACAACATAGGCTCATCTGTTTTTCTGCTTATCACGCTACTTGGTATGACAGTTATAAGAAGAGCTCCTCATGAATTCAAGATTGCATGCTTAGAGGTATGCACCAAGAGTTGACAGTTCTTTGGGCGGACTCCAATTCTATTGAATCTTCCGGTGGTTGCCCATTCTAATGCTGTCTTCTACTTTTCAGGACATCAAAGCACTTTTCCCACAAGATTACAACCCATTTTACGCAGGCTTTGGGAATAGGGACACTGATGAATTCAGTTACAGAAAAATTGGAATTCCCAAAGGCAAAATTTTTATAATCAACCCAAAGGTTGGCAATCCCTGCAATATGCTTTGTTTTCTGACTACAAGATTTATCGATTTACTCGACACTGTATGCCTAATATGTTGAAGCGGGACTTTACAGGGGGAGGTATCAATTAATCATCAAATTGATGTGAAATCCTATACTTCATTGCACACTCTTGTTGATGACATGTTCCCACCAACATCCAAGGTTGAGCAGGTAAGAAAAACTTCTGTCTTTTCTTGTAATATCATCTTTGTTAGTTTGCACGTAATTCTAGTTTTAGAAGATAAGACAATCGATAGTACAATTTAGCAGTACGATGCAGAGTTAAGATCCATGCTGTTATTATCGAATAAATTCGCTGATAACATACTTAACATAGTCCAATGTTGCAACAAATGCATGGCAATCAGTCCTTTTATTATTTCTGCATTTTCTTCATTTGTTTTAGCGTCTACAAATTCAAGTTAGCAAGAACAATATTACGTGTATAGTTAATCTTTTTCTTTCTTTTTTCCATTGCAAATCACCTTTTCATTTACTGATTACCTTAGAGATTAATGTGTGGTTTATTATGTAAGCATTTTTGTCACAATGTTCTGGATTTTCATTCTGTGCAGGAAGATTTTAACGCATGGAACTTTTGGAAAATGCCCATCTCAGATATCAATTACTTGTAGAGATTTGTCTTCACAAAGTTTGTTGATCTAGAAAGTTGAAAGCATGTTATTAAGCCCATTATACATTAATCACTTCTAGCTTTGTGAAAAAAGAGGTCTGTCATTATTGATTTTTGGTCTCATATTAAGTGTATAAAAACAGTTTTGTACTCGCAATCAATTCATATTGTTATTTCATTTAAAGAATAAGGCCCTGAGGGAATAAAAAAATTCATTTGACGCCTCTTCCACTATGCTAAATAGTGCCTCCTTTATACGAATTATATTATATGGCATGTCACTTTAAACCAAATGAAAAAAAATTAATTATTGTCCTGCATGGTTAATAAGGATCCATATAAACGATACTAACTTATTTGTAAACAGCTTGTATATTTTTATTTTTGGTTAAGGAGGACAACATTTTCTATATTTTACCTTTTTGAAAAGTGACCATGTACTTTCAAATCAAGCTCTATTCAAATTCCAAATACTAAAAAAACACTTGGAATATATGTCCAAACGACTACTTAAGGGGAAAGTGCACAAACAACCATTATTAGGGTTGCTATTTAAAGATTAGCTAGTAGGAGTATTTGTTTTTTCCTGAAAATTTAAACTAACAATCTTAATTTCAGGATAATCTAGATATTAATTAATCTGAAAAACTAAAATTTAGGACGTATGGACTAATTCTTAAATAGCAGACCTTTGTACTTAGATTATGACGCTCTCGAGTTAAAAATTGCTTAGGCTAATACAAGTTGCTAAGTTGATTTTGGCAATTAACCGAGGTAACAGCTAACGGCTGAGAGCAAGAGCCTGAAAATACTCCCTTTGGTCCCGCCAATGAATGATTCTTGGAATGGGCTATGGCAACAGAAAGATATCGCCCTCTCTCTGCTAAAGTCTTCACACAACCTCACCACATTGAATCATCTAAAGTCTCTCCATGTATACCTCCTCCGCACCGGCCTTCACCACAGCAGTTTCGCCGTCGGCAACTTCATCACCCGATGTGCTTCTCTTGGACTCATGTCATATGCAGCCCAGCTGTTCGATCAAATGTCTGAGCCAAATTCCTTTGTCTGGAATACCCTCATCAGAGGCTTCCAACAAAATCATTCACCCAAATGTACCCTTTATTATTTCGATCAAATGCGGGCACACAATGTCCAACCTGATAAATTCACATACCCTTTTGTAATTCGCGCTTGTTCGGATTTACTGGAGTTTGCCAAAGGACTAAGTCTTCATGGCCAGCTGTTTAAAATTGGAGTCCATCTTGATATCTTTGTGGGTACTAGTTTGATCGAATTTTATACTGCTATGGGGGATATGAGCATGACTAAAAAAGTTTTTGAGGAATTGCCGGTTAAAGATGAAGTAACATGGTATGCCATGTTATCTAGTTATGTCAACAAATTTAACGACATGGAAAAAGCTCGGGATTTGTTCGAAAAGATACCATGTAAGGATCTTGTAATTTGGCATACCATAATTCTTGGGTATGTCAAAGTCGGGGACTTGGAGCTAGCGAAAATGTATTTTGATAGAGCGCCTGTTAAGGATTTACTCATGTACAATACAATTTTAGGTTGCCTTGCCAAGAATGGCGAAGTTGAATGTCTCTTGAGATTGTTCCATGAAATGCCTTGTAGGGATTTGGTATCTTGGAATACAGTAATTGGAGGCCTCGTACGTGATGGGAGGGTTAATGAAGCTATGAGATTCTTCCATCAAATGGAAAGAGTGAATTTGTCGCCTGATGATGTTACCCTGGCGAGCTTGCTCTCTGCTTGTGCACAAGCTGGAGCTCTGGATACTGGGAAATGGTTGCACTCATATATCGATAGGAGGTATAATGAGNCGATAGGAGGTATACTGAGTTAAATGCTGTAATTGGAACGGCATTGGTAGATATGTATTGCAAGTGTGGGGATTTAGAGAGTGCTGCATGCGTCTTCGATAAGATGCCCGAACGTGATACTGTAGCTTGGAGTGCAATGATCATGGGGTCCTCGATGAACGGGCAGAGTAGAACTGCATTGAATTTCTTTTACCGTATGAAAGATGAATCTGAAAGGCCTAATGATGCAACAATTTTGGGGGTTCTTTGTGCTTGTGTGCATGCAGGGTTGGTTGATGAGGGAAGGAAGTGCTTTTATGGTATGTTTCAGGAGTTTGGTTTAACACCAAAGTTGGAGCATTATGGTTGTATGGTTGATCTCCTCGGTCGAGCTGGTTTGTTAGACGAGGCATATAATTTGATACAATCTATGCCATATGAGCCACACACGGGTGCCTGGGGCGCCTTACTAGGTGCATGCAAGATACATGGAAATGTTGAGCTTGCTGAAAAGGCCATAGAACACTTAATCCAACTTGACCTTGAGGATGGGGGCTACCTAGCAATTATGTCCAACATATATGCCAATGCTGGAAGGTGGGAAGATGTCTCAAAAGTCCGAAAATTGATGAAAGTAAAAGGCATTGGTAAGTCGCGAGGGATAAGCTCCATTGAGGTTAATGGGGTAATACATGAATTTGGTGTCCAAGAAAAAAGACACCCTCAAGCCAGAGAAATTTATGATATGATAGATGAAATCTACAGACGACTTAAGAGGGCTGGCCATGTCGCGAGCACTAGTGAGGTATTTTTTGACGTCGAAGAGGAGGAAAAGGAAAAGGCTTTGTTTTTCCATAGTGAGAAAATGGCTGTTGCTTTTGGACTAATTGCAACTGATAAAAACACTATCATTCGTGTGGTGAAAAATCTTCGCATTTGTGCGGATTGCCATGCAGCTATGAAGCTGATTTCTGCTAGTTTTGAAAGAGAAATAGTAATTAGGGACCGCCATCGTTTCCACCACTTCAAGAATGGTTTTTGCTCTTGTAGAGACTATTGGTGAATCTACAAATTCCCTTCAGTTGACAAACGGTGCTGAAAGTTCGATGGTACTGGTGTTCTAGTACCTAGGACAGGCTATAGAGCAAACAAAATGTCATGGGCGGTTTTCAAGCCATGCCCCATGAGCCCCATGATCCTGGTTGGGCCCCATGGCTCCTTGACAAGCCGCCCAGAGCCTAGTGCATGGATGCCCCCCATGGCGCTGGCCGCGCTAGTTGACAAGTGCACCTGCGACTATGTCACCCCACTCGTCGCGCACGCCCATTCCCATAAGCAGACAATGCTGAAAACGCCCATCAGTAGGCAGCATCCTTAACTGCCTGTGCTCCGCTAGCAATCACTTGCCACATATCCCATGCTGTGTTCCCAGGCCCCACACGAAGTGCATAATACATGATGAAGTCAAAGACATGGACACAGCCCCTCCAAGTGTCGTAATGGACCAGCTTACTCTTCTGAGTCTGCCTTCGTATAGGTCACTTGCTCGGAGTCCTTTGTATAGGTCATATGGCCATTTCATAGCTTTACTTTTACTTTGTATAGCTTATATGGCACATTCTTGATGGTTTTTGTGCCAGCAGCATTACGAGGAATTATTTTGAAATTATCTAAGTGCATACTAAATCATAAGGGAAAAACATTCTCATGTACACAAGATGAAGGTAATTAAGCTTCTTTTTTGGATATATATATATATATATATATATTTTTTTTTTTTTTTTTTTTTTTTTTTTTTTTTTTTTTTTTGCGGCTCTAGCTTATAAAGTACTTGTGCTGCTCTTTCTGCTGAAAATTTGTCAGATTCTTGTAGAATTATTATTCAGTTATTTTTCCAATTTTCTGTTTTCCACAATTGCCATGTTCTATCAAAAATTCAAGAAAAGATTTACAGCATTTTTCCTACAAAAGATGACAGTCTGCGATCAAATGGAAAGAAATACACCAATAAACGAATCAGTCAAAATTTTATCGACGAATTTTTTTTAAGAGAAATGAAAAAAAGAATACGGGACAATGTATATTTTCTTTTAGTAGAAATTCAAACAATATGCACTTCTAACACAAACAAAAACCTTCTGCAGTAGTGTTTGTACTCAAGAATCATCAGAGCCACAGTCAATTTTTCTGTGATTGCTTTCTCTTCTCTTCATCTACCATTAATATTTCACCCCCAGTGCAAGAAAACAGGCCAATTTTTCAGAGATGTATTCATTTACCACATGCTAAGGTGAAGCTTCAGTATTTCCAGCACACACCTCCTGCAACAGATTACTGTTCTTTTGTATCTTTTTCGAGATAACAAACACACTCTGAAACCACTAGCTTGAATCAGAGTGCAAACATTGGATTAATTTCTGAATCGGATAATTCGGAGTGATGCCATGAGTTGGTTCTAGTCCTTGCAAACTTATCCCTCTTCCTGTTTTTGCGAGTCCTTTTAGACTTCACAACAAAATAAGTCATGGCGCCTAAAACCCCTGCCATTATAATTCCTGCAAAAACTGTAACAAGAATTGCAGCCCATATATTACGCCTTCCAATAACTACATAAGAGGCAGATACAAAAGCCAGAGTAGTGAAAACTCGGCCAACCACATTAACTTGTTAATAACTCCAATAACCCTTATATCAGATTTTGTCTCACCCCTGACTACTGTGATTTGTACAACCACAACAGCCAACGACGTGAAGAGTGCAAGAGCATTCGTGATATAGAAGATCTTAAATGATGGGGTGTTAGACGCCACAGCATATCCAGAATCAAGATCACCACCAGGAACTGTGAATATAGCAGCAAAAGCTACTGTTGCAAAAAGAGAGGCTACAATAGTTACAGAATTGGTAGCATTGTTAATTCCTTCTCTGTGCAGCTTCTGAAGTTCCTTTGCAATACCAGTCATGTTTTTGTTAGTCTTTCGCGCTTGTTCAAGCTGGGAGTGTACATTTTTCTTAATTTCTGTCACTGTCTTTCTAAGCTCATCGCGAGGCTGATTCAATTCGTTGGCTCTCAAAGCACCATAACGAGTCAAACACTCTTTTAGTTCTGTCGATTCTTCAGACATAGGAAGCCCTTCAGCTATGTCCAGAGCTGTTTTATGATCTCTTGTCAGTGCATTCACATTTGTGTCGTCGAGCAGCAAAAGCTCGTGCACTATCTGCATTGATATAAAAGTTCGATTAAAATAGCAGATTATGCCATCAGAAGAAGCTACACAATGCAATAATTTCTGGACAGAGGCGGATCCAGGATTTAAAGTTTATGAATTCCTGTTGTAATCTCAAATCAGAGTTAGATATATATAGATATTTAGTGGATTTTTTTAATATAGAAATATAGGGTCTACGCAAAAGTTATTGGGTTCCCGAAAACCCATATACTATACTCTAATCCGCCACTGTTTCCAGACTAAGGAAAACAAGATGCAGACACTAAAGCAACAGCACTTACCTCTGAACGCTTTTTCCGTGTGGCAATATGCAATGCAGTATTGCCAAACTTATCAGGCAGCATTACAATGGCTGGATCTGCTTGCAGAAGCAACTTCACTACTTCACTGCTAACACCTTTTACAGCCATGTGTAAAGCAGTCTGTCCTTTCTTATCGGTTCTTCTTGCCAGTTGCGGATCCTTTTCCAGCAACGCTTTAACAATGTCCACATGGCCTTGGCGGGCAGACAAATGTAACGCATTTTTACCATTGGATCTTGATATTTCTAGCAAGCTAGAATCCTTGGAAAGCAATTCATGGACAACTGACGTATGTCCTTTTGTGGCTGCAGATACAAGAGGAGTTGCATTCGATTGGCCAACTGTCTTGCTCAACTCTGGCTCATGCTCCAATAGTAACTTAACAATAGCTGCACATCACATTTTTCAGTAGTTAGGTTCTTCTCAGGCTTCGATGGACTATCTTCATCCTTCTCAAGTACTTGGAAAGAAAAATACGAGCTAAAATATCATTTCTAGGATAATACCAATCAAGCCAAAATAATGCATGGCAGTCCAGTGCACAAGGCATCCCACATTCATGTAGGATCCGAGGAAGTGTCGCACCCAAAGGGTGTGATTTAGATAGCCTAATCTAATGCAAGCATTAGTGACTGTTTTCACGGCTCGAACCCATGACATATAGGTCACTGGCGGATCTAGGATTTGAAGTTGGCGCGTGCCATAATTTTCTTTAATGTATACTTTGTAGTGACTAATACGAAATTTGTTAGGAACGTTTAATCGATTTTTTTTGAGTTGATTTGGGTCAACTTAATAGGTAATTTTTTATTTGAAAATTTAAAAATTATATCTAATATAAAAAAGCAAGCGTGATTAGAATTTTAAAATAGGATCACACCTTTATTATAACAACATAAGTAAAATCAATATTTTCACCGAAAAATTACACCTTTTCTGTATATTAAAAATTAATTTACACAAGTAAGATAATATCTTCAAAAAGAGAATTACATCAATCAGAATAAGAAAACTAAAAAGAATATTTTTCATAGATAAATTATACCCCATAAGCATAAATTAGATAAACTATAATTTATGATAAATCAACATCATAAATAATATACCTTTTAAGCAATGCTTACGAAATTATAGTAAAGTGATTTAAATTATATCTAACAACCATCGCATAACACAAATTTTTATGATGTAATAAAAAAAATTCATATTTTTTTATCTCGATCCAAAATTCTCATTAAGACCAAAGTTTTTCGGATTTGAAAAAAGAAAACTTATAAATTTAATTAAGAGGGTTGCTTATTTTATATATAATTTTAAAGTTTAAGAGTCTCTTTTTTGAGTGTTCTTGCTAGAGATCACATACAAATAATAGTATGGAGAAAAGAAAATATTTAAAAAATGAAAAATAGAAAATTCGGTGGTAGCCGAAAAGGGAAATGACTGGGACAAAAGGAAATAAAAGCACAAAGAAAAGAGAAAGTCAGACAAGATTCAAGATAAATTCAACTTGAATTTTATACACGAGAAAAGTTTTCAAAAAGATATACTAGCCATGGCACCCTTTGTCTAGTTTACGGTTGCGGGTGGCAGAATCAGATAATTAACCTAATTTAAAAAAATTTCAACATAAGTATATAAAAATTTTATCATCTTACCAGGTGCCATGCCACCCCTTCTTAGAGGGGTGGATCCGCCCCTGAGGTCACATGGAGACAACTTTACCGTTGTTCCAAGGCTCCCCTGCATGTTAAAAATAATGCATTGAAACTTAAAAACCAACTAATATAAACACAATCACTAGAATGGACATTGAGCCTAATTTGATCTCAAAAACTAATTACTATGAGCTGAGAATTGTCTCAGACCATATAAAGAGAAGCGTTTCGATGAGATGACCACGCAGTTTTCACATACTAGTAACAACATCAAGCAATCCAATACTCTTTAAGGAAAATTCTTCCAAGGAATATACAAATGTTCATTACCTTGGTGACCTTGGCTAGCAGCAATATGCAAGGGATCAAAACCAGAGCGATTCTTGGTCGTGATCCCTTCCTTTGTACTATAAGGAAGCAATTCCTTAACCACATCAATATATCCCCGCTCAGCAGCGGTGAACAATGCCGTTTCCCCTAATTCATTCACCTCATTCACCATTGCCTCCCTTATCGCCGCCACCTCTGCATCAAACTCAGCTCCGCTCATTGTTTTCAACATTTGTGCATCGATTTCCTCCAATATCTCCCTCACTGCACCCACGTCCCCGCGCTGAGCCGCGAGGTGTAGCTCCGTGTCGTTGTGTCGCCCCGTCACCTGCTTCACATACTTTTTTTTCCCTGTAGGATCTATCCTTTTCCCTGAATTTGATAAAAGTAATGCTTTCCCTGAATTTGACACAACCAAAGCCTTCCCTGAATTTGATGGTATCAGAGATTTGCTTGAATGTGACACCACGAGTGCCGGTGCACGTGGCGACGGCGACGGTGATGGCTCGCCGGTATAATTTATGTTAGAAATTGGCTTTGGGGCCGAAGATAGCCCCATTTCCAGATCCATTATCTCACCTGAGTCACGTAAATTCAAATACCATGCATTACGTACACAATATATAATAATCTTTTATTGTTACAATAATAACAACGTCTCAATCCCAAGCTAGTTGAATTTAATACTTTTTAAAAGCCTTTCTTATTTTCTTACAGTTGCTTGGAAAATTATTATCTTCACAATATATAATAGTACCAATCAAATTTTTATATTTTTTTCGGAAAAATAAGTACGTTAAAAAAAATGTTGATGTTTTTACGTACCTTGTTGGTTGATGGAAGCCATTGTATTTAGAATTTTTTTTACGAGTCCATGAATGGATATTTTAATTTTTTTTTTTTTTTTTTTTTGAAGAATGGAGAATATTAGGAAGTTTTTGCTAAGGAGAAAGGCGGCAGCGGCTGACGGAAAAAGGGAAGAGGGCGACGCCGCCGGTGGTGATGGTGGTTTAAACGGTTGGAGTGAAATGATGTTGACGCCGCCGTACTGATTACCATATTCTTAACGACCAAAAGGTTCGGATTTTGTTTGTTTGTTAGTTATATTGGCTTCTAACTTTTGCTTGACTTTAGTGGTTATTAGAAGTACACATTTTAAGTGGTGGACTGTAATTACCTACTCATAAATTAATTTATATATGAAAAGGAATTATCTGAATTATTTTCTTTTGAGAAAAAGCATGTTTATATGTATAAATAGTATCATAACCCTTTTTATTTATACAAAATGAATTGAAAAATTGAATAAAAAAATAAAACTAGTCAAATTGGAAGTGGTTTTAATAAGTCATCCTCCTAACAAAATAGGAGCAGGTTTAAGATTTATATTTGAACATAAATATAAAAGAAAATTTTGAAAACTCAGTTTTTGAGTGTAATTAGAACATGCAATTCTTATCCTCTTCTTACACTTGGAAAGCCATATACAATTGAATTAAGTGAAATTACACAATCTAGACAAATTTGTAAGTAGCGGATAAAGTTACATGGTATACGTACATATGGAGTAATTGAATTGTCATTGCATCTTAGCATAAAACTACTTACAGAAGAATATATAATTGAATGTGCAGTTGTTATTGGACAGTATTGTGTGAAAAATAAAAGAGGGAAGAAAAGGATATGGATTAATAAAGCACACGAGAAAGAAAAGAAAAATGGTTTTTCACTTTATGTTGATGGAAAAGTAAAATTAGTATTTAACAAAAAGTCCGACCTACCGGATTCGAACCAGTGACCTAAGGATTAGCTGTGGGCAATTTTATCCCGACTACAGTCCTCCGCTCTACCAACTGAGCTAAGGTCGGATTGTGATCTGTTTCTTCAATTCTTACATTGTAATTATCTACAGTTTCAACTTTGATATGCAATTCATGTTAGCCATGAACGTTATTCCTCAATATTATCAATTTTCTTCTTTTCTGAAATTCCGTTTGAGAGTAATATTCTGTATTGAACATTTAAAAATTAAGAATCTCTGTCGCAGGCTAAGTTTCTAAATCATATGCATATGCTACAGCTGTTAACATAAGAATTTGCGGAAGCTAAAGGGGAATTTCCATGGTGGAAACGCCCAAAACTTCAGAGAACAAGAGAGAAGATGATAAGAAAATATCTGGTGTCTTATTAGAAATACCAAACTTGTCCTTTATAGAATAGTCCACCGTATATATACTTACATAAAATGGCTATGTAAAGCAAAATGTAAATGAGGCTATCTATCTCACTAAGTAATACAAAGTTGAAATACTATCTATTGGGCTTAGTTGGGCCCGTTTGTACGTCTGGGC